ATTTTGTTCTTTTTTCGTCAACCAAAATAATTAAATGAGAATTTGCATTTTTTCATCTGCACTCCAATGTATTTGTATTAGTGTAAATAAAATTGCACTACAACTAAATGCAGACTAAAGTGTGTGTGGATGAACATTCCATGCCTCCTTGGTGTGTCAGGATTTAATTACAGATCGCAATTACGAACTTCTCTCGAAGAGCTTCCCCAACTACTCAATGTGTTGGACTCCTAGAGTGGGTAACAAAGCTGATTGAGTGAATTCTGATCATAAGGCAAAATAATGAGGCGACAAGTATTCAACACTGGACCACTTGGTCAAATAGAGTCTGATATATACCATATCACAAGAAACCATTCAACCAAAAACCTAAAGCTGATAGGTGAGGTCCATGAATGTTACAGAACCAAAGATCATGGACAAGGTCACAAGGGGAGACAGAAAGCTGAAGCAAATGTTCGCTCTCGTTCCCCTCCCACCGTCTCCTGAAAACCAGAACACTGCTAAGTCTCCCTCATGAAGTCAAGGTTCATGCATGGACCTCCCACCGTCGGGAAGAAAAACTTCCCAACTGAGAGATTAGTTCCATTAAAGAATAATCAGTGCTAAAATCCCGACGAAATAGTACAGAGACTGAGTTCTTGAGCAGAATCAGTACACGGGTTTCCCCGGTCAAAACTGCAAATCATGTTTGTGATGCCACAAGCGGTTCCAGTTGCGGCTCTCGGTGCATGACAAGGCCACCAGTCGGGGGACAAAATGAACAAATCCCATATGGACTTACTGAACACAGAATCAAAAGTACCCAGATTGAAGAAGAACAAAAGCTGGTGTTGGTGATACCTTGGTTTCATCAATATTGGCATAAATCATGTTACTGACAACTCTTTTTATGTGGGCAAAAGACAGAAATATCACTGAATGAGCTACCAAAGCTTCGAAATGAAAAACACAGAGACCTCGAGACATATCACGTACCTGTGAAAAGAATTAAGTAAAATACAAACAAAATCCGGCACCCTGTTTCTCCTTCTATCATGATCCGTCTTGTCTCCATTATTGTTCTCCTCTTCCCCCTCCCTTTTTTTATTCTTCACTATCGGATGGTCGGCTCTCGGCTGTTCAGATATCTCATTATTGTTCGATGCACAAATTTCAGAGTTTCCAACGGTTTGGATTATCGTTTGAAGCAAAAGTGGGCTGTCCCTGCTAACAGAGAGCTTGGAACAAGAGTTCGTCGTGTAGTTTTTCAAAGCTCCAATTTTTATCAATGATGCGTTAATAACATAAAAGGGGGCGAATGAGCCGCCCATTTTGACTTCGATCTTCGGAAGAAATAAAAATAGTAAGAGAGTTGCAGCACAACTTCGTGATTGAATTTTTTTGTGTCATTTATTACAACACCTCTTATAATTTCATGATTTATTTAAACTCACCTCTAATTTTTATTTTACTAACACAACCTAATCTATTTACTTAATCAACGTATTTGTTTTTTCATCTGAAAATAGTAACACGATCATCTAAGCTGAATGAATAATTTTCAAGGGCATGGGCTCATGATTTTTATTCCAAAATTACCCAACACTTTTATAAAAAAAATAAAATTGACCAAATAGAGTGGTTGGTCATATCTTATTAGGGGCAAAAATGGTAATTTCATTTTTTACTTTTTTTTTATTAAATTTGTTCAAATAAACATTAAGGTCAAAATTGTTATTTTTCACCGTTATCTAATGGAAAGTCGATTAAGTAAATAGATTGCAAACTGTAAGGATGTTTTGGTAAAATTCAAATTATAGAATAAGTGTTAATAAATTCATAAAATTATAAGGGTGTTTTAGTAAATGACCTTTTTTTGTATGTGTTCTGGTAAAGATAGACAAGAAGAACAAATAACAACCGAGTTACAAAGATAAGTATTCCACTGCTTTTTTCCGTTGGAGATGGGAGTTGACGAAGAACATTGATGGAGAGAACAACTTAACGCGTTTATGTTGCTAGTGAAGTCTTCTCTAATCTGCTTCTCTTCTCTCCAATAAATGCATTCTCTTTTATCTGAGAGAAAGTAATAAAGGGAAATTGTTTAAAACTCATCATGACATTTCAGCATTTCTCTTAAATTCATCAAAAACCTGTCATAGTGACTTTGTTTTTCAAAATTCACCTTACCTTAGAGCATTCCTAGTATTCATTGACATAAGTTGTCCACATCAGCATAAAATATAATTTTTATGATCAAACTGCCCCTAAACTATATGTCAGCCTTATAACCAATTTTTATGTCAGCCTAATTTTTAGGGAAAACTCCCAATAGGTACCCTGTACTTCAGGCTGAGTGCCAATTTAGTACCCATACTTTAAATCACGACAATCTAGCACCCAAACTTTCAATTTACAACAATTTGGTACCTGACGTTAAATTTCCATCAGTTAGAAGACTCACATGATATCAGGTGCAGGTAAAAATTTCAAAATACCAAAACTACCCTTTATGAAAATATAAGGATCATTTTACCCTTTACCCTTCTTATTTCCCTAATCCCCTTTTCTCTTTATTCTGGGTTGAACGGATGAAAGAGGAGAAGAGAGCCAACCTTCCTCTTCATTCCTAGCACTCCCATTCCACCCCTTCTCTTCAAAATCAATTGGAGAAACGACAAAGGAGAGGCCAGCAAAGAAAGGCGGTAAGCTTCTCCCCAACATCTGTAAAATCACCCACAGATCTGATGGGTATGAAAACTCCCATATCAGAGTTGCGCACAAATCTAAACCATTTTCATATGGCGAAGAAATGTGGTTTTGATTTGAACCATTTTCAGATCTAAAACCATTTTGGCGAAATGGTGATTACAATTGTATGTGAAAAGAGCACAGAAAGTGAAAATGGATTTTTTTTCACCAATGCTTATCTTTGGCTTGACGGAAAATGACAAATTATGAAATTTTAGAAGAAAAAAACAATGGTTTTCGGAGATGGAAATTCTTTCTTCATCTTGTTCTTAAGAAATTTGGGTTGAAGTGACCCTGCATTTCTGAAATTGTGGTAGAATTGTATACGAGTGTGAAATTGCAAATAAATAATTCAAATTTTGGTTTATTTAAGCTTCAGGCTTACTTCGAGTTCGAACAAAACAAATTAAAGTCGAAAACAAAGTAAATCAGAAATTCAGAATGCTTTTAGCTTCTTTATACTGCAATCAAAACCAAACCAAAACAATTTGGTTTGCATGCCATATGTTGATGGTCAGAACATTGTTTGTTTTCAGATCTAAAAATGTTTGGCAAAATGTTTCAGTTCTAACAACCCTAAAAAATCTTGGATTAAAATCTCAATAACCCACTTGTAGAGAAATCAAGGAGAAGTCAATGTTAAAAAACGCATAGAAAATGATAGAAAACAATAGCAAATAAACATACCCTAGTTGTCTCTTTCGGCGCCGGCAACAAGTCGTCTTCTCTAGCAACAGCTGAGTAAACAGTGGGTGCAATAATGTTCCAACGACGGGCAACAGGAGTCGTCCTCCGGAACGGTACTGGATTCTTCGACTTCAATGTTTTCGGCGGCGTGTACGATCGTCGAAATCAACTTTTCCGGTAGCGCATTCGCTTGACACCACTAGCATAAGGGAGCTGGTTTTCGGATTCTCTGTAAATGCAAGTATGAGCAGTGGTTCCCACTTGCATTGGTCAGAATAGATGATGGGTTATTTTTGTAATTTTAATCGGTAATTCATACATTATTCGAAATAGTTGGGGGTATTTAGGACTTTTTATCTTCTAACTGACGGAAATTTAACATCAAGTACCAAATTGTCGCAAATTGAAAGTTCGGGCACTAGATTGTCACGATTTAAAGTACAGGTACTAAATTGGCATACCTATCTAGAATTTTTACGCCTTTGTTCTAACTAACATCTCATAGAACATAGAAGTGGACGTTGGGTCCTACAGAGCCACGTGTCCTCTTCTTAACCATAGATCTTTTATTGATCTCAATTCTTGTTGCATTTGAAATTAAAAGGGATAAAGTGATAATTGTGTGGTGCAAGTAGGTATGGAGCATCAGATGAGTTTGATTTGATCAAAAGCACTTTTCTTTATTTAAAACTCCCTATTTACTTAAATATGTAAAGTGGGCAGAAAATTTTTTAAACTGAAATATTTGAGACATTTTTGTTATTTTTTATCAAAGCTGTGCTTTATTTTCCATTTACAATAGAACAAAGGGTAAAATAATAATCTACCAACATAGGGTTCACTGGACATTTTGAAAAGTTATGGTGAATTTAAAAGAAATGCTAAAAAGTAATGTGAATTTTAGACAATTTCCCTAATAATAATAATAATAATAATAATAATAATAATAATAATGGACTGCAGGAGGAGGAATTTGTCTTGTATTGGTGGGCTCTAAATGTTCAAGGACTGCAGGAGGCGTTAATTCTGAATATAACAGATATAAATATATTTTCTGATTCAGCAGCTATTGTAAATACTCTATATGTAGAAACTATATAGAACTTAGAACAGAAAATGAAACTGCTCATCAGATGTCTCCCAGGGGACTGATGCACACGACGCTCACCTAAAGAAAGAAAGTTCTTCTTGGTTTTCTTTTGCCAAGAAAAAATTAAAAAGAAATAAGGCCTATTCTTCCTTCTTCCAGTCGTAGATGGCTCATCTTTGGCTTATTTTTGCTTTGTCTCAGGTAAAGGCCATTACTCAATGTTGCTCCCAACCATATGGGGGTATTGCAAAGGGTAGACTAGATATAATCATTCAAACTTAACCTCCTCTTCTTTTTTTACATGAAGTCGTTGCTTTCAGAGTCATAAATGCGTTCTCATACATACCAGCCTGAGATTTTTCTCATTGTACCAAGCAATGGAACATATTCTGTCTTGTTTTAATTGTGTATATGTGGGTAATTCTATGATGCCGGAAAGGTATGATACCGGAGGTAGATTTTCTAAAACAATGTACTCCTAAGTCCAAAGTTAAAGTGGAAGACAATGATGGTTAATCTAAGTTCTCAAAAATACAATCTGAACCTCTTTCATTAAAGAAAAGAAAAAAAAAAAAAAAAAGTCATCCTGTGGGACTAGAATTTCGAATTATGAACCTAAAGGAAACATTTCATTATTGCCTTGTTTGGGAGCTGTTTCCTTGCAAACTGCAGCTGCAGCAAGCTCTTCTCCAGTGTTCAGTTCCCTCCACTTTAATTGATCCTCAACTCGACCACTGTTCCAATTTTCTAATGCCAGCTCAGCCGTGATTACAGCCTTCTCCACCACAGACCTTAGCACCCCAATTTCTGCAATTGCAGTTTCAAGCTCTTTATTCGAAGCATCTACTTCACACTGCAATTACATGTGATGCATCTTCAGGAAACAGTCCACTTGCTCATGTTCCCTGATGCAGATTGTATTCGATCATTCATTCATTGAAATTGTGAGATGGGTATCATATTGTCTTCTACCTCTTCCACTTTGGGTTTTAACTCCCCAACTCTGTGCAATTTTAGACATGAAGAAGATTCAAGAAATTGGGGTTTGACACTGGCAGAGTTTCCAGTTTCTTCGTCTGCTTCTTCTTTTGCCTTCTCTATTACTCGTCTGAGCCTTTGTGTTTCCTTCTTGGCTTCATCCGCTTCTATTGCCAACTGCTGCACAGCAAGATATAACCCCGACTTAACACTCTTTGCCCTTGCTTCAGCTGCCTCTGCTGCTGCAATCTTTGATCTGTCTCTGTGAAGCTCTGATTTCAGCATTGCAATGTGAACCTGAGCTTCAGACTCTCTTTCCTTGCTCTCTTCCATCTCTTTCTCTGACTTCTGAATTGTACCTTTAAGAAATTTAATCTCATGCCTTAGATTGCAAACCTCTTCTCTTGCATTTTTAAGTTCTAATTCTAATTGCCTCAGCTCTGAATCCATTGATTTGGTATCACTTTCTTTGACAGAGTTTGCTCTTTCTATCAACTCTGATTTTAGTTGGTTTAGATCATCAATTTTACCAGAAGCAGCTTCTGCAAATGAATTATGGATCTCTTTATCTTGCTTCAATTTCTGTGGCAAATCAATTGATTGGGACTTCGCCAAGTGTTGGTTGTCTAAATCTTGCACAGTGGTTGCTTGTATTCTCATCTCTTCTAATTGTTCCTGTGCTTGAACTGCTGCGTTTATGGACATCTGTATCTTGCCATCCTTCTCTGATATGATTGTGGACTTCTCTTTCTCTGCTTCAATTACTTCCAGTTTAAAATGAAACATAGCCTTGTTGATCTCTGATAAGTGCTTCAGAAGCTCCTCACTCTTTTTTTTCTCCATATCAATAGAAGTTTCAATTAGTTTGGCCTGTTCAATGGCAGAAAGATTCGATTCCTCAGCAGCAGCAAGTTTTGCTTCTGTGCTCAGCAGCTCTTCTTTGGTGGTCTTCAATTCACTTACCACATAGATAAGTTGTTCTTTTGCCTTTCCAGTTTCCAAGAGCTGATCTGACATCTCCTTAATCTTGGATTCCAGATCCTCTATCCGCACCCTTGCTTCTTGGCATTCTTTAATGTACTTGTCCCTCTCAGCCTCAGCATTCTTCAGCTGGATGGACAGTTCATCAACTGTCTTTTGGTAGACTTCTATCTTGAGAAGGGCTTGCATGTAGGCAGATTCTTTTACTTCCAATTGCACCTTGTAGTTGGCCAAGTATTTGAGCATGAGGTCAAGTTCCATCCCCTTCACCACCTCCTGCTTTCCATGGAAATAGTGAAGGATCTTAGACTGCCATATGTGCAAATTGGAAAACCTATTATAGATTATAGTATAGATAGTTTAAGCATGTGAAACAGCAGTTCCAGTGGGAATCTGGGATTCTTAAGAAAGATACATCCAAAATTAAGGTCTAGATAGTAACTACCATTTATATGTTCCAATGATCAACTAACCCTACCTGTACCTTTTGATAACCACTTACCTCGTTCCCAATTAAACAATACTTCCTTTGGTCTTTTTTCTCCTCAAATAAGGAAAGGACAGCTTGAACCGATTCAATTGATTTCGTGTCAACCTCACCCATATCTTGCTTGCAGAAAATATTCAACACCTGCCTCATGAACACCCAAAGGAGCCTTAGGAAATAGAAGTATAGAAGCAACGCAGAAGCACAAAATTATGTCCAACTGAAAACTCTAGAGAAAAAAAAAAAACATGGCTTTTAACTTTATAGACAGAGAGATGGAGGATAAACCATATGATTTCATGTATGGTCTGATATTGTAAAACAGGGTATTGGCACCCAGCATATATGCAATGCAGCCCTCTGGATTCTCCTCCAAAGTTGGGTCCACTGATACACCCAATATTTAAGCTACTGTAAGCCCACTTCCAGCTAGCCCAGCCAATAGGATAAATGTTGCTCAAACTGCCATGGCCCATGAACATCATTGGAGGATTTTAGTATCTTTGAGGATTTGTTTACATTATCATAGATTTTTAGAGGATCTTTAGGATATATAGGAATTTCTTGTTAGTCTTTGTTTGCAAGGTTTTTATTGTGATTGGCGATGCCTTAGGAAATTAGTATTTGGGGAGATTTGAATGATATTCTCTTGTAATCTGTATATATGAATTATTCCCCTACAACGGAGTGGATGAAGAATGTGTTTTTGCAGAGTTCATACCATATGTTCAATAGCAAGATTCCATTGAGATCTTGCCCAAATCTCATCATACTCAAGCCATGGCACAAGGTTACAGGTGAGACTCAGGCACCCAGCTATCTCTTTTATATCTTTTTCCGTTTGATCAATCTCTGGTTTTCTTGCTTCTCTTGATCCCGACTTTCTTTCAGTTTTAAACCATACTTCAACTTCTTTTTCATCATTCTTTTCTTATACCCAATCAACCTAGCTCTTTTTTTTAAAGAACTATCCCTTTCATTTTGCAACTATATTAATCTCAAATAACTCTTTCTAATTCAACCATCATAGTTGATGAAGAAGGGTGAAAATGTTGAGATCAGAATTTACACTTGTATACATGTAGATGGATATATTACGAACTTTTCTTCAGAATGAATTAGATAAACCAGAGATTGAATACAATTTACAACACTATTCCCTGAAACATTCTTTTATCTTCCTTCTTAACAAAGTCATTGCTACTCATCAAGGAAAGTAAAAACAAAAGAAATATTAGTAAAACTTCCATATGATCTCAAAGTTTAAATCACTGGATCAAGTAACCTTCTTTCCTACAGCACAAATTTTTGTATACTATGAAAGATAATATCAAGACAAAGATGAGCAATCACTGCAAACTGGTTCTTTTTCTTATCCCTCTCTTCTTTCATCCTTGTAAACGTCAAAGAAGTCATTATCATTGAATTCCAGCATCATAGATTTTTCCTATTTAATAAACATAATCGTGGGGCCACAACCCTTCAATAGCAATCCAGTATCATTGTCCTTTCCCGGCCACAAACAGAATGCATTCTTTCTGCCTGGAGGTGATTAAAATTAAATATACCAGTTTGAACATCAATGAGGCAATATTGGTCTATTAGAATTTAGAAGAGATAGGAGCGATGACATCCTCCATAAATCCCCCCCCCCAATTTGGTTTAAATGGATAAAGGCTTCAATTCAAATAATTTGTAGGTGTCAGAGACATAGGCATTATGCAGTCTTCCAGATTCCAGACGGTTCTAAGCCTCCTGGAACCATTGCTGCTGTTCTAAATTCTGGATACATGCTCTACGATCAAATTAGAACCCGGAGAAGTCTGAACTGATGGGAAGCCGAAGCGGAGAAGTTTTTCATTTGGTGAGTAGATGGAAGTCTGAACTGATTATTGAAGCGAAGAAATTTTTATTTGA